AGAAAAAAGAGAGAGAGAGAGGAAGAGACAAGGAGCTAGAAGGAAAAAGTTATCTTACCTTCCAAGGATGAACAATAAGCTAACTTTTCAACATCTATGAATGCGAGAAGACAATGAGATTATAAGTATAAATTACCGCCAGCCAAAGAGTGCTGTGGCATCACAGCTCACAGCAACCTCCAACTCTTGGGTTTAAGTGATTCTCTTGCCTCAGCCTCCCACATAGCTGAAATGAAATAATTTCTATGAACTTGTTCTGTATATGGGGATTCCTTACACTTCTTCTCAATACACAACTATTTTTTAAAGGGAAATATAAAATAAGTGATTTGTTATGTTTGTGTTAACAGTGGAGCCTTAGAATGGCACTGTCCAATAGCAACATAACACAACCCACAAATGTAAGCCACACAGATAATTTAAACTTTTTTCAGAAAGTATCTCAAGAATGGAAAAAAAAATGCGATGTTCTCAATACTAATATGAAACCAATATATAAACAGTTACACATCCACCCAAATGACAAAACACAAATATAATCTAGCAAGGGGGAGGGTAGAAGAGGGAAAGGGGAAGAAGGAGGAGGGAGGGTAATTGGCAGGATCTCACCTAATGTGTTCAGCACGGCCCTTGGATGAAGGGCTCAACTACAGCTTGAACTTTACCTTAGATATGAGAACAATGTAACCTAAAAACTGGTACCTTCATATTAATTTGAAATGAAAGAAGGAAGGAGAGAGAGAAAGAAAAATTTTTGTAAAAAATTAGATAAGGTTAATTTTAATGATATATTTAATTTAACCCAACATATCTAAAACATTCTCATTTCAACATGTAAGAAGTAAAAACAAAAACATTTTTCGAAGCATAGTCTCACTTCTTTGCCCTGGGTAGAGTGCAATGGTGTCATCATACTCATTGCAATCTCAAACTCCTGAGTTCAAGTGATCCTCCTGCCTTGGCCTCCCCAGTAGCTAGGAATACAGGTGCATGCTACTATGTCTGACTAATTTTTTCTACTCTTTTTAGAAATGGGGTCTCAGTCTTGTTCAGGCTAATCTAAAACTCCTGAGTTCAAGTGATTCTCTCCCGCCTCAACCTCCCAGAGTGCTAGGATTACAGGCATGAACTACCACTCCTGCCCCCCCCTTTTTTTCCGTTAGTGATAGAGTCTCATTCAGTCACCCAGAATGGAGTACAGTGGTAAGATCATAGTTCACTGCAGCCTCAAACTCCTGGGCTCAAGCAGGAACTTGAACTACCACTCCTCCCTCCTCAGCCTCCCAATAGCTGGGATTACAGGCATACACCACCATGCCCAGCTAATATTTTTCATTTTTTTAGAGATGGGGGTCTCATTATGTTGCTCAGGCTGATCTAAAACTTCTAGCCTCAAGCAGTCCTCCCACCTCAGCCTCCCAATTGGCTAGCACCATGCCCAGCAGTATAAAAATTTTTAATGACATATATTTACATTTGTTGTATTACGTATTTAAAGATAGCACATCTCAGTTTGAACTACTAGTATTTCAAGTTCTCAGTAGCCCCATGTGGCTAGTGGCTACCATGTTGGACACAAGTAAGGGACACAAGAGAGCTACTAGGCAGTGGTTCTCAACCCTTGCTGCTTATTGGAATGACCTCAATGAGGAGCTTAAAAGAGTATAGATGCCTGTGCAGGGCTGCAATTAGGGAGGGTAAGGCAAAAGCAGGATTTAAGGGAACACACACACTCTCTCTGTAATAAAAATATATAGTATTTTAAAATACTACATTGCAATATTTTAAAAATCAAAATTAATGCAAAAAATCTATGATGAACAAAATATCCAAATTTTTAACAAAAACAGGATCAGCTTACTAATTTTTTTCCTTTGCCTCAGTCTCCCAACAAGACAGCATGGCCCTATGCCTGTGCCCCACCCCAGAACAAATAAATTGGCATTTTTAGAGATAGGGCCTGGGCATTTATTTATTTATTTATTTAAGACAGAGTCTCACTTGGTCTCCCCGGTAGAGTGCCATGACACAGCAACCTCAAACTCTTGGGCTTAAGCGATTCTCTTGCCTCATCCTCCCAAGTAGCTGGGACTACAGGCACCCACCACAATACCTGGCTATTTTTAGAGACAGGGTCTGGCTCTGGCTCTGGCTCTGGCTCTGGCTCAGGCTGGTCTCCAACCTGTGAGCTCAGGCAGTCCACCTGCCTCAGCCTCCCAGAGTGCTAGGATTACAGGCATGAGCCACTGCTCCCAGCCAAGGCATTTTATTTTTTAAAGCACTCATATGATTCTGATGTGTAGCCAATATTGAGAGCTACTGTCCCAAAGCTCAGATTTCCTGATAAAGTGGCAACTGATGGATAGTCACAATTCTGGCATGTGATTTCTTTTACCAAATCCCCAAATCCAGTTTGCTTTTTCAGACTTCCAGTGACAGGGCACTCACAAATTCACAGGGCAGATGTTTCCACTGTTGGACAACTCTAGGGTTACCTCTTATTTATTTGGAGAAAACTGTTAAAAAGAATTTTTTTTAAAGGGTAAAGCTGTGTCTCCCATACAGCTATAAAAATAAACACATGATTATTTTGTTTAACAAAAGGAACTTGGCAGATACTATAACTGGTTCAAAAGAGAATCCAAAAACAGACATCTTTATAGATCAAGACTATTGAAAGTATGTAGACCTGCCCTTTGATCCTGCAATTCCTCTACTAGGTGTCTATCCAAAAGACCAAAAATCACTTGGCAACAAAGATATTTGCACCAGATTGTTCACTGCAACTCAATTCATAATTGCCAAGTCTTGGAAGAAGCCCAAGTGCCCATCGACCCATGAATGGATTAATAAATTATCCATATTCCATATGTATACCATGGAATACTATGCAACATTAAAAAAAGCTGAAGACTTTACCTCTTTTATGTTTACATGGATGGAACTGGAAAATATTCTTCTTAGTAAAGTATCTCAGGAATGGAAAAAATAATATCCAGTGTACTTAGGACTAACATAGAACCAATTTATAATCACTCACACTTTCATATGAGAAATGAATCACAACGATAGCCCAGAATGAAGGAGGGAAGGGGAGGGGGGTGGTTTGATAGAGGGAGGGTTAATAGTGGACTACACCTTTGGAGCATACTGCATAGCTATAAGTCAAATCTATCAAGTATTGAACACAAATGTCTTAACACTGTGATTAAGTGAATGAGGTGAAAGCTATGTTAATTAGTAGGATGTGAGCACTCTAATTTGTACAAATAATCAACACACTGAATCCCACAAAGGCATAAATGTATTCATGATCTATGTATATATGACTTAATAAAATAAATAAAAAACTACTTAAGTAAAAAAAAAAAAAAAGACTATTGAAATGAATATACAAATGGAGGAAAACAGGTTTTCCACAGGAAAGCAACGGAGAGAAATCAATTGAACGTCTACCAGACAGAATTTGTTCATCTATCAGTTACCTCCAATTTACAGACTTGTAAAACATCTCCCATAGAAGCAATCAGATAAGGTGGGTGGGTGTGCTGTAGACAACACATGGTTTTCCATGAAATTATTTATTACACAACAAATTGCTTCCCTATATTTTTTTACCCACTATTTTTATGACAGTGATTTTCAAATTTTGATTTGCACAAGAATTACCCAGGAAAGGTGAATTTCCTTCCAAGGATTCCGAGTTTGGATGATGCCCATGGAAGTGCCTTTTTTTTATTGTTTGGGATTCACTGAGGGTACAGAGAATTAGGTTGCACTGAATTAGGTTACGTTTGTCAGGTAAAGTCCCTCCTATAATTGTGTCCCTCCCCCAAGAGGTGTGCCATCCACCATAACCCCCGTCCCCCTCCTTCCCTCTCCCTGCTCCCTCATTCCCCTACACCAGCCACCTTGTATTAGCTCATCTATTGCCTTCATATTAGAATAGAGTACGTTGGATTCTTGGTTCTCCTTTTTTGTGATGCCTCACTAAGAAGAATGTGTTCCACCTCAATCCAGGTTAATACAAAAGATGTAAAGTCTCCATCTGTTTTGTTTTGTTTTGTTTGAGATAGAGCCTCAAGCTATCCCCCTGGGTAGAGTGCCGTGGTTTCACAGCTCACAGCAACCTCCAACTCCTGGGCTCAAGCGAGTCTCCTGCCTCCGCCTCCCAAATAGCTGGGACCACAGGCGCCCGCCACAACGCCCGGCTATTTTTTGGTTGCAGCCGTCATTGTTGTTTGGCAGGTCCGGGCTGGATTTGAACCCGCCACCTTAGGTGTATATGGCTGGCGCCCTAGCCACTTGAGCCACAGGCGCTGAGCCGTCTCCATCTGTTTTAATGGCTGAATAGTATCCCATGGTGTACGTATACCACAGCTTGTTAATCATTCCCGGGTTGGTGGGCATTTAGGTTGTTTCCACATTTTGGCAATTGTAACCCTGGGTCATCTCAACTCAAACGGAAATGCCTTTTTAAAAAGCACACTGAATGGCTCAGCACCTGTGGCTCAAGCGGCTAAGGCGCCAGCCACGTATACCCAAGGTGGCGGGTTCAAATCCAGCCCAGGCCCGCCAAACAACAATGACGGCTGCAACCAAAAAAATAGCTGGGTGTTGTGGCAGGCACCTGTGGTCCCAGCTACTTGGGAGGCTGAGGAGACTCGCTTGAGCCCAGGAGTTAGAGGTTGCTGTGAGCTGTGATGCCATGCCACTCTACCCAGGGTGACAGCTTAAGGCTCTGTCTCAAAAAAAAAAAAAGCACACTGGATGATTGTAATGCAGGTGTTCTGAGGATCATACTCAAGAAACACTGTCCTAGAGCATACCTACTCCATGTTCTGGAAACAGCCTTTTCAAACAGGCTTCTCACAATATTTGAAAGTAGCTCTACACTTTAGCCTTTGTGGTCTTAGTGGTCTTTCTGTGCTAGTAACATTTTCTTTACTTTGTTTTCAAGATAATGTGCTATTTCTTTTCTCCCCACTCAAATTTTACAGGACAGAACAGGAACTGTTTTTTTACTATATGAGCACCTGAAGAGAGACAAGTTGGGAATCTTGTGAGTATGCAGTTTCTCTATGAGATGTAATAAGCTAAGAAAACAGACTATAACTGCCTCTAAGAATGGTGCTTTTTCACACATTTTAATCGGCATGCTGATTTATTGGAAGTCTATCTTGTTTTATTTAGATCTTCAGGTATTTCATAAATGACTTTAGATGTGTGCATAGGGGCTCATAAATATAGCTGATTAATTATCCAAAGTTGACAGGTAAGAGTTTAGGGTTAACAACATAGCACACTCAACATACACATCAAATCTGACTGATGGAGAACCAGGTCAGGTGCCCAGATTGTGGAAAGGCAGCTCTTATTCTGGCATGCTTTAAAAAGTGCAGGTTCGAGCCCAGCCTGGGCCCACTAAACAACAATGACAACCTCAACAAAAAAATAGCCGGACATTGTGGCAGGCACCTGTTGTCCCAGCTACATGGGAGTTTGAGGCAAGAGAATCGCTTCAGCCCAGGAGTTTGAGGTTGCTGTGAACTGTGACACCACAGCACTCTACCAAGGGTGATATAGTAAGACTCTGTCTTTAAAAAAAAAAAGAGAGAGTCTGATTAAGTGGGAAAGGCTCAAGGTCCATGTGTATTCCTAAGCTCAGGAATTCAGACAAATGGGTTAGTTAAAGAACTAAAAATCAGAACACAGAGATATGAGCTCTGCCTTACATCTGGTATGAAAGATCAAATGCAAAAGACAAGCTGTACCAGGACTGGAATTAGACAAAGCCTCATGCACATGGGGTGGGGCTGGGAGGGGCTCACTCCCTTGGAGTGAGGGAGAAGAGCAGTCAGGCCAAACACAGTACCCAGGGTCCAGTGCCTGGAGGTCATCCTAAGAAGCAACCACTTTGTACCACCAGGGATGTTCCAACCACAAGGAGAACTTGACTTTTGGAGCTCAGAAAGGAGGCCACTTTTAGAGACCCAGGCCAGCAAGGGTGTGGCACAAAGAAAGCTCATGAGCAGGTGACAGAGCCCAGTGGGAACTGACACTCAGGAGCAGGACTTGTGTCCCAGAACTGAATGGATGAGACAGGCAGAGGCAGAGTTCCTGAGGTGTGGGCCACAGGAAGATTTAGCCAGGTGGGTACTAGGGCACAGAGGAGCCAAGCAAGAGGAAAACCATCACAGAATTTAGGAGACAGAAGAGACTCGTGAACAAAGAAATCCCCAATCATCAGACTGACCTAGCAGTGAGGTGGATTTGATGCTGAGGCCCACAGGACGGACTACTAGACTGGTAGCCGAGAGGAACTCGCCCAGCTGTCCCTGCACCTCCCCTGAGATCTCAGGCAAGATGTCCTGAGCTGCGGGCTAGCTTCAGTGGCAGAAACAGAAACAGTCCTATTGGTACACTTCTAGATGGTTATTACTACTCACACGTCCTACAGAGAGGGCACTCGCTGGTGACACAGACCTGCTGAAACTCCCCTGTGCCTCTTCCACAGCTTCCTGCCCTGCCTTATTTTCGTCCCTTACTGCAGCCATAGAGCCAGGGAACATGAGAGCAGGGAAGCACTGGGGGATTGACTGATCTTCATATTACAGATGGGAAACTGAGGCTTAGCAAGAGTGTGACTTACCCAAGTCCCACAGTAGGTTGTCTGTGTTCTAGTCCTGAGCCTGGTATTCTTTTCACTACCACCTTGCATAGGAAGCCCTCTGTGTAACGCAGAGATCCTCAGACTGTTGTGAGGTGCATCCCTGCTGCACAAGTTCGCACAGATTTTGCTAATTTACTTTTTCTGAACATTAGATAGAATTCAAGGTTATCCCTGGAATTCTCATTTGCATATAGCTATGCTTTCTTACGTGTGAGAAAGAAGGCAGGACTCACAATTACTGTATTAGGAATTACACTAAGGTGTGAACACAGGAGGCTGAAAAAAGATGATTTAATAGACGTGGCCAAGACGGTCCTATTTTCTAAAACTCATGTTGAAAATGAAAAGATAAGCAAATAAAGACTTTTTTTCTTTGTATTGCTTAATTTCCCCTGGAGCTTTAAGGAGGGGCTTTTCACGAGATGGTGGGCTTCATCTGGCTTTATTGCAATCAGGTCATGCCAGGTGACCTTTCAAAAAGGAGAAGGATGACTTTTCAGATCAGAGATTATGGTTTGGCTTTTCTGAGATAATGTCATACCAACTCCATTTATTCTGGGATATTTCTGGGAAATAGTGGCATTCAAGGAGAATTTTCAAGGAATCGAATATGAAGGAAATTCTAGAAATGAATTAATTAATCAGGAGCAGGGAGTTGGAGTCCATCTAGCTCCTTGGCTCCTGCCCCAGAGGACATGGACATGAGGAGTCTGAGGAGAGATAAGAGAAGGGCTCGAATCCATTTGTGAACATCGAACACATAAGTGCACACGCAGACACACAAACACATCTGTATCAGCTTCAAATTTTAGCATATGTAAGATAAGAATTGCCTAGGGAGCTTGGTGAACCTACACATTCCTAGACTCCAGATTCAAAGATTCTGATTTTGTTGATCTAGGGCAGAGCTCAGGAATCTGCGATTTTTAAGAAGCACTCAGGGTCTAATAACATACTGAGCCTATGTTTATGTGGCACTAAAACACAAATCACTTTTTAATAGTTCTCATTTTTATTTTGTTTCAAATCACTTTTCAAAATTCCTGACTCTGAAGGTACCTTTGGCTATTATTCATTGTCTCGAAAGAAACACAAATGTTCAACAGCTGTAAGAGGTGGGCTGTCCTTAGATTTGGGGAATGTAACTCAAAAACGTTAGAAGCACCGATCCAGTCCAGTTCCTTCATTTCTAAGAAAAGGAAATGACCCAGTGACCTTAATTAACTTTCCCAAAGCCATACCACCAGTGGCAGGACAGAAAGCCCTGGTCTTCTGTCTTAGGGACCGGTAAACTTTGGGCTCCCCCTTCTGACCCAAGGGAAAGCCTGGTACGGCTGGAAGGCAGCCAGGGAAAGGGGTCTAAGATTTAGACACTAAGGCAGTGGTTTTCAACCTTTTTATCTCACAGCACACTTGAATCTATAGTTAAACTTCCTCAGCACACTTACATTATGTTGATCCAAAAAAAGAGTGAAAAAATATATATACTTACTGTGCTTTGAACTTCTTTCAAAAATAATGATCTTCAAAACTTTTTGAAGCTCACCTAAGATCCTCTCAGGGCACAATCACTCCTCTAAGGTGACTTAGTTTACAGGCAACAACTGGGAAAGAGTGATCCCAAAGGGGTTTTGGGGTTTTTTTGTTTTGTTTTGTTTTGTTTTGTTTTGCAGCTGCCTTAATGGGCAGCTCTTTTTGTTCACCACCTACGGACAGAACACTTTTTAAATATTAATCCAGTCATTTAACCTATTTTTTTCCTTCAATAAAGAGCATTCAAAAAATAGCTAGAAAAATGCCCTAGAATTTTGTCTCTAAATTAAAACTTAGAATGATCTAGTTGTTTAGGAATGTTCACTGACCACAGTATAATGCTACGTACAGGATGGTTTATAAGTTGTCTCTAAAATCTTCATACAGTGAGTGTTCAGCTCCATAAAAGACAGCTGTTCCTGAATGAGGTACATTCTCCTCTGAACGTGGGCAGGGCACTCATAAGTAACAGGAATCAATTGCACACCTGAAACAGAAAATAAACCCCAGACAAAAGTCTCCAGAATACTGAGATGCAAATGTCTCTGTAGACAAGGATATCGCTAGGCATGAATCACACTTAGCAACAATTCTCTTAAACCGACTTAAGCAATTTTTAAAAAACGAGTTCATACAATGTCCTCACTCAGTGGTCGCCTTTCCTGGAAATGACTGACCTTATTGCTATACTCTGCTAAGTTGATTAATAAAAAATATTTATTACACAAATCCTTTTTGTTGACAAGTTAAAATGGAGCCTCATCTTTCATATCTCCCTGAAGATTGCCACCTTGTGAGATTGAAAATACTCATTAAATTCCATCACCAGACAGGCACAAATGAGAGGCCGATTGTTTTTAAGCATGTGAGGGGAATCGTTGGTAAACTCATTTGTTTGGATATCATTAACAGAACAATCGGCGAGGATCTCCAGGGGGTCCTCATGACCTTTGCTCACAATCTCTTCATCATCCATCAAGAAATATCAGCACCTAATATGCAAGGCGAGACCAATTTTAAGGTGAGGTGTTAATTAACTAACGATCCTGGTTAATTTCTATACAAGGGCTGAAAATACCTCATGCTGTATTGTAAACAAGTGCTAAACCATCTTTTTTTTTATTATAAGCCATCCATATTTTACAATGTGCAGGGTCAATATCGTAAGGTTCCCACTGAAGCCGTTAGTTAAATTTAATAGTTTGAAACTTTTTCTTTGAAATAAATATAGTAGACTTGCTTTTAACTTGCTGCCATTTTCAAACCCAAGCTCATAAGAGAGAAGAGCTTTCTGATGCTGGAGGTGAAGCTAAAACACCACAGTGGAACCAAAATAGAGATTGTCACATCGGAAAATTGTGAATGTAATCTATTTATATTTCAGCTAATACATTGTTGGCGAGTGATCCTGAGGAGCCCCAGTTTCTAGAAGTTCTAAGATTGAAGATGGCGATGTGTGTTAGGGAGAAGTGGGGGAAAATCCCAGCACACACATGGGCCATCTACCCCACCCCATTTCTCCAAAGTAGGGTGAATGTTTCACTACTAAACTTTTGAAGCCTTTATATGGCTTTCAAAGATGTCTATAAAATCCAGTTGTGTGTAATTGCCTAAATGTCTCCAAATTCTAAAATACAGGAGCAAGATCTGTATGAGAGTTTTGAAACACCTGCTGCTCAGAGATGACCATGTGGTATTGATCAGGAAAGACTGAATCTCATTCCCAGTCTAGGCTTTCATCATGTCTAAAAGACCTCAACTGGAAATTACACATGGTTTCTCTCTTAAATGTAAACCTCAACAACAGCTTCACAAAAATATAATTTTTAGGTCAGGCATGGTAGCTCACACCTGTAATCTCCTCAGTGAAGCTGAGGAGGGAGGATCCCTGGAGTCTAAGAGTTCAAGACTAGCCTGGGCAATGTAGCAAGACCCTGTCTCTACAAAAAATAAGAAAGCTCAGCCAAATGTGGTGGCATGTGCCTATAGTCACAGCTACTTGGGAGGCTGAGGTAGGAGGATTTCTTGAACCAGGCATTCAAGATGCAGAGACCTATAATCATGCCACTGCACTCCAGCCTGGGCAATAGAGTGAGACTTGTGCCCCCCGTAAAAAATAAAATATATATAATTTTAATACCTTTATTTTACTTCAGCTAGGGCCTAGCTCCTTTAGTAATAGTAACAATAATAACAGTGCTTACTCTTCAAAGTGATTTTATGAGCTAGAAAATGACCATTGCTTTTCCTACAACATGATAGAGAAAATTCAATAAAAAATAGACCCAACATTATATCAGTGTTCACTGGCCCTAAATCTATGCTCCTTGTTTACATTTTAAGTTCCTCTTACCTAGTATCATTTTAACTGTTATTGCCATATACAAAATTTTGATCCTGTCCAAATACAGCTAATAAGCAGGATCATATAGTTTATCCACAAATCCACACAGACTAAGTAGACTCTGAGCTTAAGACTTGAGATTGGCAGAGGCAACCACCCTTGACAAAACGAAGGCTATTGCTGTGCCCTTTCTCTGACTTTCAAAATCATCAAAGTCAGATGTTTTCAGCAGCTTTTAAATATCTTATGATTTCTAGCCTTCTCAGGTGAATCATTATTTTCTTGATCTTTACTCATATTTGAAGGTCTAAAGTTAAAAATTTTAAATCTCAATAATATAGTAGAATATAATAACAAAAATATGAAAAGTGGAATAGATTCATGTTTGGTAGTACATATATTTTTCTGTCTGCCTTGTGGCAGGCAGTAGACAAATGCTAAGATGCCAATCAATAGTACATCTCTTGCCTCAGCCTCCCAAGTAGCTGAGACTACAGGCGCCTGCCACAACACCTGGCTATTTTCTGGTTGTAGTTGTCATTGTTGTTTGGCAGGCCCGGGCTGCATTCAAACCCATCAGCTCCGGTGTATGTGGCTGGTGCCCTAGCCACTGAGCTACAGGCGCCAAGCTGATTTAACGCAATTTCTATCAACATCACTGCTGGCTTTTTTGCAGAAATTGAGAAGGAGATCCTAAAATTCAGGTAGAAATGCAAGGGACCCAAATAACCAAAATGATCTTGAAAAGGAAGATCAAAGTTGGAGGACTCACAGCTTCTCAACTTCAAAACTTACTACAAAGCTCTACAATAATCAAGACAGTACAGGACCAACCTGAGAATATATAGATGAAGGGATGGAATGGAGAGTCCAGAAAAACTCATATATTATGGTCAATTGATTTTTGACAAGGGTGCCAAAACAATTCAATAGGGGAAAACAGACTTTTTAATAGGTGGTGCTGTTATTGAAATGGCAACGGCGTTTCAGCCTAGGTCTAAATGCTCACCACGCAAAGACAATGAAGATTGCCAAGGAAGAAAGGAAATTTTAGGGCAATGCCAGTGGCTCAGTGAGTAGGGCATCAGACCCATATACCAAGGGTGGCGGGTTTGAACCTGGCACCTGCCAAACTGCAACAACAACAAACATAGCCAGGATTGTGGCAGGCGCCTGTAGTCCCTAAGCCCAAGAGCTGGAGGTTGCTGTGAGCTGTGACGCCACAGCACTCTACCAAGGGTGACAAAATGAGAGACTCTGTCTCTAAAAAAAAAAAAAAAAGAAAGAAAGAAAAGAAAAGAAAGGAAATTTTAATATGAAAGATGTCTATCTTAGTAAAGTATCTCAAGAATGGGAAAAAAAAAATGCCACGGCACTCTACCCAGGGGGACAAAATGAGAGACTCTGTCTCAAAAAAAAAAAAAAAGAATGGGAAAAAAAAGTATCCAATGTATTCAATACTACTATGAAATCAGTATATAATAACGTGCACATTCATAGGAATAGTAAAACATAACTATAGTCCAGAAGGAGGGACAAGAAAAGAGAGGAGAGGGGAGGGGAGGCCAGGAGGAGAGAGGGTTTTGGGGGGATCCAACCTAATGTGCATAATGCAATGATACATTTTTATACTATGAAGAATAGAGTATGAATGTTTTTGCCCCAACAAATAAGTAACCAAGGAGACGGTTAATGTTCCCCGGAGTGCTAGGATTACAGGTATGAGCCACCAGCCCCTGTCTACAAATTATTGGTTATCAGTCTTGCTGAAATAAGTAAAAAAGTCAAGAGTAAGAATTTGGAAATCTTTCTAGAATTTTTCTGTTTATTAAGTCTAATGAAAACATTGGGCTTCTATTTCGTACAGCTTCAACTTTTTTATTTCTTTTTTAAATAATTCAATTTTGTTGTATTTTACAAAAATATCAATTCATGACAGGTCAGAAAACAAAAGAAAATAAACAGTTCTTCACTACGGATAATTTCAGAAACTTGGATCTAGTCACCTGAAGAACAGGGCTAATAGGCTTACGGGAGAGTTTATTTCAACTGGGAAGAAAAAGGAATCTTCCCATTTTACTATATTTATATTTTATTGAGGTATAATTCCCACACCATAAAAGTCACCCTTGTAAAGTGGCTAGTTCAGTGGTTTTTAGTATATTCACAAGCAATCATCACCACCGTGTAATTCCAGAACATTTTCCTCACCCCAGATAGAAACCCCGTGCCCACCAGCAGTCACTCTGGATGTGCTGCCTCTGCACTCGTATCAGTGGGATCCCATGATGTGTGGTCTTTTGTGACTGGTGTCTTTTGCTTAGCCTAATGTTCCCAAGGTTCATCCACGTTGTAGCACGGATCAGTACTTCATTCCTTTTTACAGTGACTAACATCCCATGGCATGGAGTATTGTCCACATAGCCCAGTGTCAGCTTATGGTGGTTCCTACTTTTTGGCTATCATCAATAATACTTCCATGAACATTAATGTACAAGTTTTTGTATGAACACGTTTTCAATATTCTTGAGTATGTACCTAGTAGTGGAATTGCTGGGTCATATGGTAATTTTATGTTTAATTTTTTGAGGAACAGCTAAATTTTACACAGCCGTGACACCATTTGTATTACTACCAGCAATGTATAAGGGTTCCAGCTTCCAGTTTCTCCATACCTTTGCCAATATTTGTTACTGGCTGCTTTTTTTCTTTAATTGCAGCCATCTTAGTGGGTATACAATGGTGTTTCTCATTATGGGTTTGATTTGCATATCCCTAAAGACTTAAAATATTGAGCATTTCTTTATATACTTACTGGCCATTTGTGTATCTTCTACGAAAAAATGTCTATGCTCCCTTTTTAATTGGGCTGTCTTTCTCTCTTTTTTTTTTTTTGAGACAGAGTCTCACTATGTTGCCCTCAGTAGAGTGCTATGGTGTCATAGCTCACAGCAACCTCAAATTCTTGAGCTTAAGCAATTCTCTTGCCTCAGCCTCCCAGGTAGCTGGGACTACAGGCACCTACCACAACACCTGGCTGGTGGATCTCTGGAGCTCAGGAGTTGGAGACCAGCCTGAGCAAGAGAATTCTTCTCTATTAAAAATAGAAAAACTAGCTAGACATTGTGGCAGGCACTTGTAGTCCCAGCTACTTGGGAGGCTAAGGTAAGAGGATTGCCCCTCAAGCCCAGGGGTCTGAGGTTGCTGTGAACTATGATGACGCCAAGGCACTCAACCTAGGGTGACAGAGTAAGACTCTGTCTCCAAAAATAATAATAATAATTTGTAGACAAGCACCAGTTACTGGAAGTTACTTTGAGTAGAACTGATCTAAACCATACTTCAAAAAAGAGCAAATACTTGGTAGGGGGTTGTAAAAGGTGTTTAAGTAATGAATAAATGGTTTTTATTGTTCATTTACAGACCACCATTAATGATATTGAAACCATTCTGGGTGTAACAGAGGAAAACAAAATAAAATTTGGAGAAGAGCAACAGTCCAAAGTTGACAACAAGTTCCCTAATCCTGTTAAATGATCCTGGAACACATCACGATTTTGGACCCCAATCTGGAGCAAAAGAGGCAATATTCCTTTTGCTGTTAGGAAAAAGTAGAGAGAAATTAGTTTGCTTTGTTTTCTAGAAGATTAGTCAGAACAGATTATAATAAAATCCTCTTTTTAAAATAGTTGTTATTAAGCACTTTTATTTTGCTTATTAACCCAAAACCTGTTTGTGTTTTCACCTGAGATTGCTGAACAATTCTTTCCTCTTCCCAAATTTAGGAAAAAGAAAACTAATAAAAGAAGAGAGTTTAAAGTCCTACTGATATTACTTCTACATTTACTTCTTTATAATCTTAGATTTTAGGGTATGTGTGTTTTATAAAGTTTTCTTCTTCTTTTTATTTTATTTTTTTAAGAGATAGGATCTGGCTCTATTGCCCAGGCTGGAATTCAAGGACATGATCATAGCTAAGTGTAGCCTCGAAGTCCCAGCTACTCCTGGGACTACAGGTATGTAGTGCCCAGCTCTCTCCTGCTATTTCTGATGTCATTTATCTTCTACGTTTAAAAAATTGAATAAAGACTCAATCGTTGCTACTGGGAAAAAAACACAAATGCTTTTTCTTAAGACTTGAAATTATACTTACATATATTTTAAGTGATTCTTTATTATTCATTGTATTTTGGTTGTACCAAGCCACTGTTGTTTGTTGTTGCCATTTTTCAAAAAGTAGGAAAGCCAACATCTAGTTAGACAAAGCATCAGAATTAATCTAGGTGGCAGTATCTGCTCTTCGTTTAAGATAGAGTGTAGCTTCAGCCCTCTAGCTTGAATAAACATTTGTATTCTCTAGTTCTCCATTTAAAACAGCAGTAAGGTTTTGTCAAGCTTTGTGCAACAGTGCGGTACCTTTCAAAGAGCAAATTGTTAAAATTATGCCATGCTGGCACTAAACTTCAGCATTTTCTTTGCAATTGCCTGAAATTACTCAAATTGCAACACCAAAATCATCTATTATTTTAAAAGAATGACTTTTACATCTATAAAAATATTTCAGTATGTTGGGGAAAGCAGGAGTATTCTTACCTATGGAATTTCAGTAATCTTTTTTAACTGTGGTTCACCCACAGGCTTAGAGTCCCTGCAATAAAATTAACATTTCTCTGTTTGTCAGCTTTTGTTTTGCTATAGTTGGAAATACATTAATTAGCCAGGTTCCCTGCCTGTGTTAGGTACAATGATGACCTCTTTTTCTTGCCAGATCTCTCTAATCCATACGAGAGGTCCATTGTCCAGACACTTGACAGATAGGAAGTAGTACATGCCCATTAGAGTCGCACTTCAACTGAAGCCAGAGCAACATAAGGTCCAAGAGACTCATTAGTTCACTGGCACAATCGTGTCCTGAGAGTAAATGAAACCCTCTGTCTCCCTATGGCTCTCATCTGCTCTGGACTTTAAAAGAAAACTGTCTCCGTTTTGTTCAGCACAGCAGTGGATCATTCACAGGGGGAGAGCCCCTTCTTAACAATGCAAAACTGTGAAATCTATCGGGGAAGTTTTTTTATGTGAATTTTGATTAGCACTCCTGAGCCTCAAGCTGCTGGCAAGGGTAAAATGCGTTTGCTGTCCTGAACCATTTTTTTACCCACTTGATTGGTTTCTCAAACAATGCCACTTTCCTCCCTGGCATCGATCATTAGCATAGACTGCAAAATGCCTGTTTCCAAATTCAGCCAGATTCAGGTCTCACTGACTGGAAGCAAAAGTCTCTACCTGAACACCTGCAGCTTCAAAATGAAAGGAGGAAACGGGTATAATAGAACAGTCACTTTAAGGAATTATAAGGAAGAGCCAAAGGACCAGATTAAATTAGTGAAATGTTGAATATCGAAACATTTGAAGAGAGAAGCACAGTCCACCGTTAGGTTTGGTGCATACAGGTCACAAAGGTACTGCACTCTTGGTAGACCAAGGCAAGTTTGAAACAAGAATCATTTAGATGTACACAATACCTAAACTATCCTGACTATAATTTAATCAAGATGAATAACTGAGCTTTTAATATTTTAAATAAGAAGTTGAAATCCTTGTCAGTAAAAGGATTTGGGGGAAATGATGTACCATTTTCCAGGAAATTTTTGGGAAGAGCATGGCATTAAACAGTAGAGATAAGTTTGTATGATAAATGACCCAGTATTTAATGTTAAATGTTTGCAATGGTTGGACAGCATTACCAAAGGTAAGTAATAACCCACTTTATAGGGACTTTAAAGAAGACAATTAGATGATAATATTCAACGCCAATCTGTGCGGTCTCTCTGCTTACCTACCTCCCACCCACAATCTACCTATATTTACCATTATTGGACTCTCTGTAGGGACTGGGTTTTTATTGTACTGGAAATTTTATATCCATCATTTTATTGCATCTTTCCAACAACCCCATAGGAGTAGGTACCACTCCGGTCCTCGTTTTATTTACGAGGAAATTGGGATTCAATGAGAGTATCTCACCTCCAGTCTCAGGCTAAATGAAAAGAAATGTCAGATTTGCTGTCCTTTAGCATAAATTCTGGCATGTATTATCAAGTAGGTTTAGTGTCCAGATCACACAGGGACTCACACATCTTTAGAATAAGAAATTCCAGCGTGTTAATTAAAACATGGACAGACAAGTTCACTTACACACACTTCCTGCTAATACAATAAGCCTGTATACCTGACACCATCATAAGGCACCACAATTATGTGATCAAAGAAAACGAGAAAAAAGTGGTGCCAGTGGAATTCTCTCCTGGTGATGGATCTGTAAGACTTTGGTGGAGAACTGATGATGGAAATACAGAGGAGGGCATGAAAGATGGGAAGTTGAGCCCAAAGTTTTGTTTAAGAGACAGAAAAGAGGTCAAGAAATCCTGGCAGTGTTGGAAAAGCCTTCGCATAAGATGTGGAATAGGCAGTGCCTGTGGCTCAGTGAGTAGGGTGCCGGCCCCATATACCGAGGGTGGTGGGTTCAAACCCAGTCCCTGCCAAACTGCAACAACAATAACAACAAAAAGGAAATAAATAAAAGTCTTAGGCTCAGTGCCTGTGGCTCAAGTGGCTAAGGCACCAGCCACATACACCTAAGGTGGCGGGTTCGAATCCAGCCCAGGCCCACCAAAACAACAATTGCGGCTGCAACCAAAAAAAAAAAAAAAAATAGCCGGGCATTGTGGCAGGCGCCTGTAGTCCCAGCTACTTGGGAGGCTGAGGCAGGAGACTCACTTGAGCCCAGGAGTTAGAGGTTGCTGTGAGCTGTGATGCCACTGCACTCTACCCAGGGGGATAGCTTGAGGCTCTGTCTCAAAAAAAAAAAAGTCTTAAAAAAAATAAGAAGAAAGGTGTGGAATGGCCAAAGAAGACTTTGGGGAGCATATATTTTAGCTATGTCATTCTAAGAATTGCAAGCATCCTATTTTTCAAGTATAACAATATGTATTTTTATCACAAGTAACATATTAATAACTATCTGATAGTTTTAACAATTAATAATCATATTCATCTGGCACCTTTCTGCTAAAGAGCTCAAAGCACTTTACATTTGTTATCTCATTAATTCCCAACACTGTCCCTGTGGGGCAGGTAATAAGTATTTTAACATTTAAATGTTTATCTTTCAGGATTTCTCAAGCATACATTAATTATATTTCCAAAAATGTAAATGTTCATTAGTTTTATTTTACTGTTCCTCTGGGTTTAATGTGCATAACACATTTGTTCAACTCTTTAAATGTACTATCATGGTAAATCTTATCTGGAAAACCATGAAGGTGCTGAGATAATGGGAAGAGTAGAGGTTGGGGGAGGGAGGAAGCATTTGACTTTCAGCTTTTCTTGCTGAAGGATGTTTGGACCAGTCCATTCTCAGTGCAGATAAAATACGCTGTGTGCACCTCCTGTGTGTCCCATTCCTTCCCAAAGGTGAGCCATAGGAGAGTCAGGACGTATCTAAGAGTCCAAGACAGATCGAGCTGCTATTTATACCATTGTTTTATTAATGATTTCATCAATGTGTAACAGACACTTGATGCATTCTATCAGGAGTTACGTCCCCCAAGAGTCTCAGAATACTAAGAGCCAGGAATTCCTCTCCCCAGCCCTCCCTCTCTCTGGCCTGGTCACACCTTTCTCAATTTTCTAACTAGAAAAATGGCAGATAGTATAATCCTACCTACTCCTTAGGGAAGCAGTGGAGATTAATTAGCCAGCGTTGGGAGAGTGTTCCAAAGATGAAGTGTTCTACATAAATGTTTAAGTATTATTATTACATTGCTACTTCAAATGGAAGTTCTAACTTTGAAATGTGATTATACACTTTCCAAAAAAACCCCTTCATAACCACATATATAGGTTTATTTTTCACTCTTAACAGTCTAACTCATGGTTGTGAAACTTTATTGCACTTGATGGAAGGCCTTGGCTTTTATTAGTTTTAAACTGCTGGTTTCTGGGGTATTTATGTAAATGAGGGAAAGATACCAAAACAGTAAATAATAAGCATGTCCCTGCTGTTTAAAAATCTGTTGGTAAAAACAAGTTTTAACAAGACCCTAAACATAGCACAGAAAAATACAGCTTGGCATCTATGCATAAAATAAGTTTGTTGGTTTGGGATTTTTTGTTGGCAGTGGTGAAGGTTTGTTTTTTTTGGAGGGGGGGTAGTTTTTCCCTCAAGCATTTTTTTACCATTCTGTAAACATTTTGTTTCACTTCTACAATTATCATCATATATGTGTGTGTCACCAGACACACACACACAGAAATGAGAAACTAGAAAGAGAAGTAAAATGCATCATTTTAAGATTTTTTTACTTAACAAACTGTTATAAAGTACACCAGATGGCTAATTATAGCTCCCAGAGACAAAAGGCCACACCCAAGTTCGTTGCAGTTGCCTCATAAAGAACTATTATGATGAAATCATGGTCCCATAAACTTGACAACACAACAGCAGACCTTTCTTTGGTTACAAAATAAACTCCACA